AAGTCAGAATGAGACACTTTCAACCCTTACAAGATCGTCTGCCCTAAAGACAGACAATTAAACGAACTAAAGAATCTCATTCATCGTCTCACACACAACACACACAGTCACGAGCAGACACATGCGAAAAAACAGGAGAATACAAGTCGAGTACACTGACGAGTGCCTATGATATTTCTTTCTGATTCTATATACATCTGTAAAGTGATATTTTAGGATTTTTTGAAGAAAAAGACCATTTTAAAGATATTCATTATAATAAAAAAGTGTTAGATTTTTATTTTCAACTTTAATAAGTACCATTTTACTTCACCCAACCCACATTTATTTCCTTAGAAGCAAAGATTGGCATTAAAAAACAAAGTTTAACATGTGATAGAGAACAATATAACATCGAGTTACTAAGTTATGCATTGCATCGGTGATGTCGCTGGGATCACCTACAAAACGCATTCCGGCATGGGCCGGTTATGCCTCGTTCTGGAACAGTACATTCTCCATTCACGATACTGACATCTACTGCCCTTTGAATTTAGCCAAGGTACCTGACTTTGTAAGAAAATCGTGATCTGAGCTTCAACTGAATGACTTTCTGGCAGAAATCAATTGCGACCATTTTCTACTGCAGCAGCACCAGTCTGCACATCGCAGCTGGGTACGTCGCCAGTCGGCGACACCTGGCACTCCGACGCGCATCGCAGCGGTAGCTGGCGTATGTGGCATCTCACCATATCTAACCTCGACTAATCTTCCAACAGCCACCGCCCTCTCAGTGCGTAAGCATATTCAATGACTCTTATCTTGTGCTTCGCGCCCTGCTGCATGCCATGTTCGCAAACTCTCAAATCAGACTCTAGCACTGTGCGCGATACTGCCAAACTTGAACTGTTCCGGAGCCTGAAGTAAGATCCAATTGCGCCCTTATATTCCTAAGATTCTTCCTGAAAATCACGAGTAAACCCAAAACCATGCTCTCTGTGTGTACGCGTAGAGGAATCCTTCCCGGTAATCCCACCGACTTTAGTGGAAGATGTAAATTAACAGTGAAATACGGCTTTAGATTAATGAGCGCACAAACCAAACCCTGTGATCAGATCTCCGGTACCACTTGAGCAACCTGTCCCGACGCAAGTGGTGGGACGGGTGGAAGGTGGTAAATAAGCTGGTGAAAGTTTTCCATAATTAGGTAGAAGAAAATCCTGCCAAGAGGACGCACCATGCCAAAGGCTCACTGGTCAGGATTAGCTTTTACTCCATCCTGTTTAAAGCTGACAGGAATTCACAATGACACTTCCCTTCCAGTGCAAGAGCTTTTCAGATC